AGCTCCCTCAGCCGCTCCTTGTAAGACTTGTTCTCTAGACCCCTCACCAGCCTCATTGCCCTTCTCTGGACATGCTCCAGAAACTCAATGTCCTTCTTGTACTGAGGGGCCCAAAACTGAACACAGCACTCAAGGTGCGGCCTCACTAGTGCTGAGCACAGGGGGACAATCACTGCCCTGGTCCCGCTGGCCACACTATTCTTGACACAAGCCAGGATGCCGTTGGCCTTCTTGGCCACCTGAACACACTGCTGGCTCATGTTCACCCAGCTGTTGACCAACACCCCAAAGTCCTTTTCCGCCGGGCAGCTTTCCAGCCACTCTTCCCCACGCCTGTAGCGTTGCATGGGGTTGTGGTGGCCCAAGGGCAGGACCTGGCACTTGGCCTTGTTGAGCCTCATGCAGTTGGCCTCAGCCCATCGATCCAGCCTGTCCAGATCCCTCTGCAGAGCCTTCCTACCCGCAAGCAGATCAACACTCCCACCCAACTTGGTGTCATCCGCAGACTTACTAGGAAGCACTCAATCCCCTCATCCAGATCGTTGATAAAGATGTTAAACAGAACTGCCCCCAAAACTAAGCCCTGAGGAACACCACTTGTGACCGGCCACCAGATGGATTCAACTCCATTCACCACCACTCTTTGGGCCCAGCCATCCAGCCATTTTTTTGCCCAGCAAAGTGTACGTCCATCCAAGCCATGAGCAGCCAGTTTCTCCAGGAGGATGCTGTGAGAAACAGCATCAAAGGCTTTGCTAAAGTCTTGGTAGACAAAATCCCCAGCCTTTCCCTCATCCACTAAGTGGGTCACCTTGATATAGAAGGAGATCAGGTTAGTCAAGCAGGACCTGCCTTTCATGAACCCATGCTGACCAGGCCTGATCGCCTGGTTGTCCTGTGTGTGCCGTGTGATGGCACTCAAGATGAACTGCTCCATAACCTTCCCTGGCACCGAGGTCAGGCTGACAGGCCTGTAGTTCCCTGGATCCTCCTTCCAGCCCTTCTTGTAGATGGGTGTCACATTAGCCAACTTCCAGTCAACTGGGACCTCCCCAGTTAGCCAGGACTGCTGATAGATGGTGGAAAGTTACTCGGCGAGCACATCCGGCAGCTCCTTTAGCACCCTTGGGTGAATCCCATCCGGCCCCACAGACTTGTGCATATCTATGTGGTGTAGCAGGTCACTGACCATTTCCCCTTGGATTCTGGGGGTTTCCTTCTGCTCCCCATCCCTGTCTTCCTGCTCAGGGGGCTGGGTGTCTGGAGAACTGTTACAGACTGAGGCAAAGAAGGCATTAGGTACCTCAGCCTTTTCCTCATTCTTTGTTACTAAGTTTCCCCCCGCATCTAATAGAAGATGAAAATTTTCCTTCGCCCTCCTTTTGTTGCTAATAATGTTGGATGATTCACCCCAGAGGTCATTCTGTGTAGGCAACATGACCCAGACCTCACCAGGTCTGCTTCCTCTTTGCACAGTCTTCCCACATGAGGCCAGGAAGTGCAGTGCCATGAAACACACCTGCACACCTATATGCCATGAGTTGTTATCACATCTACTACCACAATAAATGGAGTCCTGGTTGATAGCTAGGAGTCATTGGTGTTAGGTATGGTACAAATAGCTGACCAACAAAGGAAGTTTAAGATTGAAATGTCAGAGAAGCAAGTACAGAAGTAATACTAATCCCCATGTTAGGTGCCCACCTGTTCTTGAAAGTTGAGTAAAAGACCACTTAAAGAAAAGCACCTCTGACGATAGATAAGATACTTGAAGACAGTGAAGGGGAATAATGGCAACGGGTATCTTGAAATATCCATATTCATGCATGGCTCCTCCCAGTGTGCAGACTGGTACAACAGTAAACCCTAAAGCTGATGACTTTGATATCAAACACATTAGTGAGGAGGTCTACTATGGGAAGAGAAGTCAAAGTTTTGACGGAGAAGGTTCTTGAAAATGGGAGCAAAATAGTGAAGCAATTAGAAGTCAACAGAAGGAAGCAAACAGGTTAAAATGAGATCTAGGAAATTCATCTTTCCAAATGCTTTCTGGGTCAGAGACAGGAATGTTGTTGTAAAGGCCAACGAAGTCAATACTGCAGTGGTTTAGATGTGAGAAGACAAGAATTTGAGTGATGTGGATGAAATGAAAAGGCTGGATCCTAGGAGTGTTGCGTGAGATCCAGCTGCAGTGTGGATGAGTTGATCCAAGACTGCCAGCCTCACGGGTATTGCTCGCTGTCACCCATTTCTGCACAATCCTTAGCTGATGTGTGCAAGTTCAGAAGAACCCTAACTTCATTTGATCATCGATTAAAACAACAGTTGCTCTTTATGATGAGTAGGCTAAATGCTGTGGGTTTTCTTAAGAAGAGACTAAAGAGTTGTAGGTTTGAGTGCCTTGTGCTGAGATTCAGATCTGCCGTCTGCTTCAAAGACGCTTTTGAAGTCTTGAGGGAGACATGCTTTTAGCTTTCAGGGAAAGTGAGAGTACGTGATCTCAACTTGCTGCTAATCTGATAACTCTTTAATTTTAATCACCCTGACAGTCTGTGGTAAACCATGTGGTTAACTATTTCGGGTACAGTCGCTTCTCTCGAAGCCACAGTCTGATGCAGTTTACAAGGCGAATCCTTCGATAACACACAGATACCAGGGGATTAAAATCCCCTGGTATCTGTGTGTTACTGTTAAGCTGCTCACAATACTTTTCATCATCGCCTTCCCCAAACTTTGTGACTTTTACTAAGCAGCAAGATAACGAAAAGTAAAAAGGGCAGAAAATATCAAAGCGAGAAAATGATGGGTGACTCTGAAAGAAAAGGGCATTGCAGGACTGGGTCTGGGAGTCAGACTGGGTTGCTGTTGGCAAGCATGGCTTTGTTTCAAGGAGAAGGCACTTCAGGAGTCAAGGGCAGATGCCAAAGGATGAACAACTATCAGGGATTCAAGGCCCTTTTGCAGTCATTCTTGCTGGTTGCTAAGGCTGCATTAATTATGGCTGCAGAAAATGTGAAGACACAATGACTACGAAATTTTACTCATAATCGCTGTTACTGTTATGCATAAGCATAAAAGGTGACATATCATGCACCCAAAGATCCTGAATGTCAGCCCTGATGCAACCAGCCTGTTTTGTATTTGAATCTCTCAGTCTTTAGGCCTTAAATAATCATTAAGTAGTGCCTTTATCAACTTCTGAGTCTCCAGCTCAGCTTCAGTGGGCTTTTCAAGTGCACTAAAATGATTTAACTTAATTCAATCCAACTGATTGAGAAGCATATTTAGATGTGATTTGCTGATGACACAGCACTTCACATCCTTATTTTGGGACAAGTTATATTTAGGTTTGCGAACTTATTTCACAGTAAGCTGCTCTTTGGTGGGCTCAGAGAGAGCAGAGAGTCTACTCTCCTTTCCAATGTCTGCTTACAGATGATCGCAACTTTCAATGACTTAGTTTTGCTTATGAGGCCTCACTCCATAGATTCAAGGCTGCACAATCTGGTGCAGGCAGCAGCTCTAGGATATAATTGTGAACAGCTTCATTAAGAAAATGTTGGTAGCGTTTCATGTTGCGCATCTTCCATGTGCAGAAAGAAAGGGCTCAACAGCCTGCTTCAGGTGTGGGGGGGAGCAGGATCAGGCGGGTAGGCCTGGTGCCTCCTACCACCACCCCCAGCTGCTGCAGAATGTCCTTGTTCCAGCATCCTTTCTCCTCTAGGAGAAACACGAGGCAGTACAATCATCTCCGCCAAGCTAAAAAAGTGTAAACAAATACAGGCTTCACGTCACTTGGTGGAGACTCTCCAAGGGATTTTTCTGCATCCTGAACAAATATATATGGAACAGGCTGCCCAGGGAGGTTGTGGAGTCTCCTTCTCTGGAGATATTCAAGACCTGCCTGGACACGGTCCTGTGCAGCCTGCTCTGGGTGACAACGCCCTGCCGGGACGCGGTCCTGTTCAGCCTGCTCTGGGTGACCCTGCTTCGGCAGGGCGTTGGACTAGATGACTCACAGAGGTCCCTTCCAACCCCTACCATTCTGTGATTCTGTGATTCTGTGATTCTGTGATATGCTGATAAAATCAATGGCAACAACTAACTCCAGTGTGAAGAAGGCTTTGGAAGGTGGGATTTTTCTAAAATTAAAATAAAATGTTCACTTAAAATAACTAATAGTTTCTCCAGACACTCAGAGCCTCTAATTGTCTTAGAGACAATCAAACAAACAAAGCTTTGCTATCCTCATGTTCCCTTCATGACCTCCACTTTCATCTCTCAGCTATGACTTTAGCCCTGTGGCTGGGAGCAGAATTAAGCTTACTTCACTGAGCTCTGGGCATGATCTGGTGTTCATAAGACAGAAAGATGTGGGAGCACCTCAGTGAATAAAGTGGGCGTACAGGCTGTCCTGATTCTCAGGCTTTCTGTTTGCAGAAGAATGCCCAACTCTTCCAAGGACTGCATTTGTTGACGTTACTGCTAAAGCGTATCCACTGGGGACCAAACTGTTTTATAAATGTGATGATGGCTACATGAGAAGAAGTGGCCAGTACTTGGGAATTCGGTGTCAGAGTATACATCAGGTTGCTTCTTGGGTCTACAAGGACTTTGAATGCATTGGTAAGTGATTATTGTCCTTTTTCTATACTTGTAGAGGTGTCCAATGAGTTCGTCAGTATAAGACAGATTTGGGCATTGCTCTAACAAATGATCTCTTGTGCTTATCTTTGCAAATTAGAACTTGCAACAATTCTATCCTGCCTCTAAAATTTTGGGTGCGCTGGCTTTGCTTTGCTATTTGTTCTGCTGTAATTCAGCAAATATAACTTCTCCCGCAGATAAGAAAATTTTGTTGTCAACGGCTCCCACAATGGAGTTAGATTTTACAGTGACGCCAGAAAGAAAAACACAGAGCCCTGCACCCCAGAAGCAAGAAAACCTTTCAGAGTTTGGCCAGAAAGGTATGTAAGAACCCATTACTGTAACACTTGTCCCACTGATTTCCATGGAAGCAGTGTAAGAATGATGAGTAAATTTTAATTAGTTTGACAGACAGAGAGAAAGAAACAATTGTTATAATATCTTGGTGGAAGAAGTGATATGGTGTAAGCTAATTTGTTTTTTATATCCAAACAAAGAATGAGGAAGGCTCAGTATACCCTGTTTGTCTATATTTTGTAAGAATACAAATCAAATTGTTTCAAAAACAAAAGCAGTAGGTAAAAACCTATTGGCTTTAACTGTGTGCTGCCTTGTGACCCCACAGATTTTTGTGGTCCCCCCAAGACTATTCCACATGCCTCTTTAAGCCTGGACAAACGGTATCGTGTGGGGCAAGTATTACATTTCAAATGCCAGAGCGGTTATGATAAGCGATCCCCCACTTCTGGCACCAGCACGTGCAAGAAGGTGAATGGCAAAGTCATTTGGACCCCCCTCGACATACGCTGCGCCAATGACAGCAGCTATAGCGACGACTGGCTGCCACAGACTATTGAGCCAGGTAATGTGATTGCTTCGGCATTGCATCGGTGTCATGACCTGTTGATGCAGGGTCCATATGCCCCAGCCGGCACATTAGTCCTAGGGAAAAACCAACCTGGGGTTCGGGATGGAGAGATCGGCAGCCTCAGGGCTCTGACACTGATGGAGATGTAATCTCTGACTGATGGAGATGGCATCTCTGGGGAGGACATAACTGCATCCTACTTAGTCTTGAGCGTCCTTTCATGCTAATTGCAAAATTGTAGGAATTTGTGAGCCGATAGAGTGACACTGTTGTATGCTGAGAAGAGAACAGTAGAATAAGCCCTTCTCTTTTCTCCTTCCTCCTGAAAGCTATAGGTCATCTGTTGTCACTTCACAGTAAGGTGCTCCAAAAGGTATATCTAAGCAACCTTCATGACTGCCTTGGGTTTTAGGATCCAGAGTTTAGCAAGCCCACAGCTAAACCTGAGTGTTGTGGCTTGGTTCTTTATTTAATAACCAGGATGCTGTTTTGAACAGAGACAACAAAAAACCCACCAATATTGCACTGTAGTCCTTGTGTGTGTCCAGCCCTTGTAAGCCATCCCAGGCCATGTGGTAGAGCAGGATGGTTTGGGCAGGCCATTTTGCCTGCAGAGTGACCTTTCAGGTGACACTTGGCCATCATTGCCTCTCGTTGCTGCTCTGATTGTAAGAATGAATCACTTTAATCACTGGAAACACTACTTCAGCGTTAACCCAGGGTTTTCTCCCCTTCTTCATAGAACCATCTGTTTCCCTGTGGTGCCCGGTTCAGAGTGTTCCAGGTACAGCAGTCACAATTTGTTGTTTGGCCTTTCCTAGTCCTTCAGGACAGTAATTTTTTTTCTGTCGAGTATTTCATTTGGTACTATCAGGATGAAGGAACTTCTTGCTATGATGAAAATAACAAACTTCAACATACCAGTCCTACAAAAGGATGCAACCTATTGAATAATCAGAGATTACACATACTTTAAATTTTAAAATCAGGATTATCAAAAACGTGAGACTGGATGATGAAATCGGCCATCTTGGCCAATCATTCCAGTTTCCTGCAAAAGCACATTCAAACTTGAGCAAGATCAGGTCTTCATAATTAGTGCACCAAACATTTATTCCCCCAAAGCGTTGCCTTTCTCTTTATTATGATGTGATGTCTTTAATGGGGCTGGATAAGGTGTATCCTCCCCTTTCTCAGTTCTCCCTCCAGCATTCAGCACAAAGACATTTATCAGGAGACCACTCTTACAGGTCCTGTTGTTAAAAACCTGCTGGTATCTCATAATGGCTCCAGTTCATAGAAACATAGAATCATAGAATTCTTTGGGTTGGAAGGGACCTTTAGAGGTCATCTAGCCCAACAACCCCTATAGGGAGCAGGGACATCTTCAACTGGGTCAGGTTGTTCACAGCCCCATCCAACCTGACCTTGAATGTTTCCAGGGATGGGGCCTCCACTACCTCTCTGGGCAACCCGTTCCAGTGTTTCACTACCCTCACCATAAAAAGTATATCCAGTCTTAACCTACCCTTTTAGTTTAAATCCATTACTCCTTGTCCTTGGTAACTAGTGGTGTCCCTCAGGGGTCAGTACTGGGCCCGGTCTTGTCTAACTTCTTCATCAATGACCTGGATGAAGAGTTAGAATGTACCCTCAGCAAGTTTGCTGATGACACCAAACTGGGAGGAGTGGTAGACACACCGGAAGGCTGTGCTGCCATTCAGCGTGACCTGGACAGGCTG